AAAACAAACAAACAAACAAATCACATGTTGATAAATTACTTTGAGTCAGCTATTTGTCAGTTCGTAACCTAATTGTCATTTAGTATACTTTTAGTTACTGATATTGTTTAGGCTACGAACGTATTTTGAAATACGTAAGGGTTCTCTTTATAGAAAGTAATTTATTAGTTTGTGGAGCCCAAAGAAAAAGTTTTTAGTTTTTCAAAGCAGTCACAAATATATAATCCTCCAACGACAATTGTGTTAAGTTTAGATATTTGATGTTGTTGTATTAAAGCGTCTCATTTTCTGTTAGATACTAACAAACAAAACTTAAAACATAGTAGGCACTCACCAACTTCATGATTCCAGAAAACTCTGAAGAAAATATTAGGCTTAGCAGTCAAGACTCTGGAGTGATGTGATGGTCTATCTCCGTCTTTCTCTTAAATTTATACCCAGTTTTTCTCTTCCACCTGATGATAACAATCTATAAAGATAATTAACATAATGAAGGCTGAGAAATAGCTTCTAACCTCGTTATATAATTTTAAATTATATAATTTAAATACTAGAAATACACGAAAGAGGGCGTTTTATATCATTTAAATACTATAAATACACGAAAGAGGGAGATAACAGAAGAAATATATTTCAATAAAGTATTGTCAATAAATAATAACGTCATTTCCGTACCATTAATAAACCTAGATTAAGAATGGATTGAAAACCTTTAGAAATCAGCCGTAATCTGAAAGCAAGGTCATGACCCTGACCCTTCGACAATTGTTTGTTTCAGTTCTGATTACACTTCTCCAAATATTTGCATTGTTCATTGTATATTTTATGTACTTGGCCATGAGTGAGGGTAATTAAAAAAGGAAAAGACCAGTCCCGTCTTCTAGTTCTAGGGTGTTTAGGTATAGTTTTTGTATATTTCATGTACTTGGCCATGAGTGAGGGTAATTAAAAATGGAAAAGACCAGTTCCGTCTTCTAGTTCTAGGGTGTTTGGGTATAGTTTTACAAAGTCGTTGTGTCCAACAACTTTTTTCAAGGTAAGCATCCGTTAAACAAACACCTTCAATAAAAATGTAGACTTGATTATATTTATATAAGGCTATCGACAGCAAGACATTTTTATAGACAATGAACAGCTTCGGAGCGAGATTGATATCCTTAAATTGATATCCTAGTTTTAATACAATATTGTAAACGTTTAGTTAAACTGGACATTGTACTAGTTTTATCATCAATTTTGGGAAGCAAAAAGAGTAAATTTTCATAGAAGAACTTTCCATTAAATAAATCATAGAAGATGTTTGTTGAAAATATCTTCATATTGGTAAAACGTGTTTAGGACTTGCAAGTATAACGAATGGTCACTCTTATGGGTGAAATTAGCAGACTCAGACACAGTAACAATCACTACTATTCAGAGTTGTCTGAGCATATATATAGTAACTATCATTCAAAACTGTCTGAGCATATATATAATAACTATTACTACCATTCGAAACTGTCTGAGCATATATATAGTAACTATCACTACCATTCAAAACTATCTGAGCATATATATAGTAACTACCACTGCTATTCAGAGTTGTCTGAGCATATATATAGTAACTATTACTACCATTCAAAACTGTCTGAGCACATATATATAGTAACTATCACTTCCATTCAAAACTGTCTGAGCATATATATAGTAACTATCACTGCTATTCAGAATTGTCTGAGCATACATATAGTAACTATCACTGCTATTCAGAGTTGTCTGAGCATATATATTTTCGTTTAAGATAATTTTTCTTTCATTTTACTACACAAACATGTTTGCAGATATTAAATGTTACACAATATGTATCTGACTGAAACCTAGGAAATCGCAATGTTTATTTAATTGTCTCATTTTCACTTGTTCAAATTAATTAATTCATATTATCAATTACTTGTGGTGCTGATGTTTTACATCTCAAGCCTCAGTTGGAACGTTTTGTTTAATTTCGTGCAAGGCTACTCGAGAGATATCTGAGTTATCCGACCCTAATTAAAATTTTGTTTGTTTGTAATTAAGCACAAAGCTACACAATGGACTATCTGTGCTCTGTCCATCCACGGATATCGAAACCCAGTTTCTAGCGTTGTAAATCCGCAGACAAACCGCTGTGTCACTGGGGGTGGGGGCTTAATTAAGAAGTGATACATTAGTGAGAAGACAGCTAGTCAACACCAACAACTCTTGGGCTACTCCAATAGAAGAGTGGATTTGACCGTCACATTATAATGTTACACGGATGAAAGGGTGAGTATGTTTCGTGATGGGATTCTAACCACGGACCCACAGAATGCGAGTTGCGGGCCTAACCAGACTATGCGACACCCCGACTAGAAACCCCAGTGCGCTTAAAATTGAAACTGGGCAAAGTTGAAATTTTTCAATAGTCCTTATCTAACTGGTGTATTCAAGTGTTTTACACTCACAAAAAAAGAAACCTATCATTCTATAGGTAGTTGAAGAACTTGTAGCATTTCGCCACAATTTAATTCTTGGTATTGTTAGCCGACACTGGGCAGCTTGTACATAATTGAATAAATAGAGTTGTTTAAACATTTGTTTAACAACAAATAAAAAGCTTGGAATGGTCTATTCTTTCAAAGTCACTGATGAGGAGTGGAATTCTCCGAAACTAGTCTGGCTCACAGACACACACCCCAATGAAAGAATATACCATTCCAAGCTTTTACTTGTTGTTAAACAAATGTTTAAACAACTCTATTTATTCAGTTTCCTTATCTGTTGTAACCTATAATCACTAACGGTTCATTTGAACACAGTTACACAGGCAGAATATTGGCTACGAAAAGACATAGTCTACAATAACACGCCATCTTGAGTCAAAAAGATAAATTACGATAATAATTATTTTTACATTTACGTAGAAATCTACTTTACTTAGACACTTATTTCATTGTTTGCAAAGCGTGTCTTAAGGAAAACAATAAAACTTTAAAGAAGCATATTTTCCATTGTTCCGGATCAGCAGAAAAGAATCTAAGATCATGTAAACAAGTCCTTTCTTTTGTTTTAGTAGTCTAGTAATGAGTCGATTATCTCGTGTTAAAATACCGTTTTGTACACAGTTATTCAGCTTGTTATATACACTGAATGACGTACTTGTGATCATGTAGCTATGGCAAATATAATAATATAACACATACAAATCTGTGTGATTTCTCCTTTTGAAAAATGTATTTAAAAGAAAAAAAGGAAAATTCAAAGTGTTTATTTCAATATCACAGTGGAGTAAGTGTGACTTCTTCTGGATTTTTCCCTTTGTAGAAAGTTGGCTCAACAGTTTTCATATTCCAGGTGATAACGTGATAAATACGTTGTCGCAAAGATTCATGATAATTAAGCCATTTTTAGGACAACATTTCAATCTCCAGATACAATCATTTATTGTGAATTCCGTTAAGAACGTCAACAACGGTTGGTAAAAAAAAATAAAGTTATTTGTGTTTCATTAAAAGACATGTGAGTGCAGACATCAAACAAAAGCATTATTTTGCAAGAAGATAAGATTTATTTACTAGCCAATTATATTATATTATAAACATCAACTATGTACACACATATAGTATAGAGAGTCTATTTCTCAATATCTTGTAAGTCTGGCTGGACAGAGAGAGGAATCATCCTGTGAAAATATGAAATTCAAACTTTTTAGATTAATAGAGAAACTTATATAACTATACCAATATTTATTGAATAATTATTGGGTGATTAAAATGTATATGAAACCAAATTAGTAATTATAAGTATCGTTTGTTAGACACACAACTGTAGGAGACTCACATTTCGAAATAGTTGTTTGAATTATATATCAACTTATGCAGAACATTAGGAAATGCTACGAGCTATGACCAAAGGCAGTTCAAAGAATGACTTGCATAACAATAAACAATAAGTTGTGTACAATGTTGCCTTACAAGCAACAGATTCTGGAATTCAGAGCATTTTTTTTTTCAGTTGGGTATTTTTTTCTTGTTAGGCAACATTGTACACAACTTAGTTTTTCTTGTTAGGCAACATTGTATACAACTTAGTTTTTCTTGTAAGGCAACATTGTACACAACTTAGTTTTGTTAGGCAACATTGTATACAACTTAATTTTTAAATTGATCTGAACATAAATCTTATTAGTTTTTAATACAAACTTAAAACTAAACTTTATAACTGTCACGTAATGATTGGAAACACTGGATCAAAATACGGTACAACGATAGAGCAATAAGTTTTATATACGTAAGTGATTTTCTTGTGGTGTTTTGGCATGAATTATTTCTTTGCTTCCAAAACTAGCTAACGTCTGATTATTCGGGTATATGCATATATACTTTAATCATATATATATATATATAATGTAAATTGTTACAATTTCAATTCTACGGACATCGACTATCAAAATATTATAGATTTTCCTTTCAATGTTATGCAGTATTCTTACCGATATCAATTTAGTGGAACTTGTAGCCAAGACCTCCATAATAACCAGCACCGTATCCATAGCCTGGATAGCCATAACCAGCGTAACCATAACCATAGCCTGGATAACCGTAGCCAGCGTAGCCATAACCATAGCCTGGGTAGCCGTAGCCAGCGTAGCCATAGCCATAACCATAGCCTGGGTATCCATAACCATAACCAGTCAGAGCACGCTGATTGTCGAAGCTGTGGGTGATGGCAGAGCTACCTGTAACAGCCGCAGCTCCTCCATAGTAACCGCCATAGTAACCTCCGTAAGGAGCACCTCCAAGGAAGCCACCTAACAGCCCAGCGAAAGACACAGAGCACAGGGCAAGGAAAGTGAGAGCAACCTATATAAAAAAACGATGTTGTAGCATTATTAATGATAAATATACAATTGTTTTCAAATGAAACAAAGTTCATTATGCAGTATTTCAGTCTTAACATTGCAATGTTGACTAGTACTATTGACTACTAAAATAAAGAAAAATAACACAACATAACGTCATAAAGAAAAAATAAAATTGCTAAACTGTTTTATACGTTGATATTTTATGGTTCAAAAATCTTAGAGGCTAAGTACAAATAGTAAAATTTTCATCATATTAATTTCCGATAGGTGGCAGCTTCATCTTATTATCCAAAAGATTGCACTTTCAAACAACGCCTTTATTGATAAATATGAAAGATCCATATTCTTGTGCATTTTATTTTATCAAACAAGTTATTAAATTTCAATTTTATTTCTCTTTATAAGTTAGAAAAAGCGATATTTTATTAAAGTAAATTCAACTTTTTTGATCGCTTTCGTCTCTAATGACCTTTTAAATTTTGTGTCAGCTAAAGACAAACTGACTGAGCCAACTGAAGTACAGTGTTAGATTTTATGTTATCTTTTAACAAATTATTGACATACCTAAAAAGATGATAAAAAACACTTTTGGCATTCTAAATTACAAAATGAAATATAAACAATATTTTCGAATAACCAAAATAATATTAGGGTGCTTATTTAGTACTTTAAGCCTAACTTACCAGAGTTTTCATGGTTTGTAGTTTGAAAAAGCTGTAAATACGGCTATGAGAGTTGTATTGTTCAGCGTATGACAAGAAGAGAAGTCCTGGTTCCTTTTATACTCCCAGAAGTCTTTTTTTTTTACACGCTGTAATCCATAAAACACCAAGGTCTTATAAGTTGGTCGCAACGTGTGTATTTTTCTTTGTAATTTTGAATTTCACCTAGAATGCTCGGTTTGGCTGGTACGATGTTGCAGTCAATGTCATTCCATTTACCATGTTTACCTGTACAGTATGGAAAATGTACCAAGGTTTTATTTTTTTCCTCCTGTAAAAATATTAATGGTAAGTATTGTATTGCATATAAACAAGTTTGTTCAAATTCTTAAATTATGCCACATTACTACAGCTACAGATTACTGTAGTGAAAAATTACGTTTCTGCTCTGTGTTTAAAGGTTTAAGGAGAAATAATATAAAAAAACAAACAAACATTAAATAGCTGTTATACGACCGAGAGGAAAATATGTTTATGTTTTTGTTTGAAAATGCATGTAAAAAAATATGTGTAACTTTTTTATTACATATAATTAATGTGTTGTTGTGTTATTTGTTTGTAGTTAAACACAAAGCTAAACAAAGGGCTCTGCCTGTCACAAGTATCGAAACCCGGTTTCTAACATTGTAATTCCGCAGACATGCCGCTGTGCCACTGAGGAGTAAACTTATTATTACAACAAGAGAGTTAGGAATAAATTTAAGAGTTTGGATTAATTAGAAAATAAGAGTCACAGGAAGAAAGCTAAGATTTCAATTAATGCCACTGTGCCACTAGGGAGCAATGTGTTCAGAATCATCTGACTGTAAGCTAACATCGTATTTCAGCAAGATATTAATATCATAATGACGCAGGATTATTGTTTGTTTTGTAAATGCTCAGAATGTTATACAAGATTATATAGTCTGACTCTTGATTTCTAGCTATAAACCACGTGATTAGTCAATAAACTATTGAATTTGTGGTTCTTTCTTATTTACATTCCAGTTGAAAACGTTTCATTGCTTCAATACTGGCAAGTAAATGTGTACTATAGCTTTACAGTTAGATCTCTGTATTAAGGTTGCTTTATTTCTAAGTGTTTCCTGCTCATACAATAAACTTAAATTGACATCTTTGATTATTTCTGTCTTTTATGACTTTACAAAAAGTGTTTTCAATTAGATCCGTTAATAAAACGTTTATAATTATCTTTCTTAAGCGTTATGATACCGTTTTTTGTATTATTATAGCTATGTATGGGGGAATTAATTTTGTTTTGTTGAATTTCTTAGTCTAGGCAGATTTTACACAATACTGCCAACATGAACCATGGCTAATTGTGTTACTTACCAACAGGCTACTTCTTCCTAATTACGTTTGCAATCAATATATTTCAGACGTTTTCAAATATTTCAGTCTGGCAAAATCTATAACCTCCAATTCTAATATATATATATATATATATTTTTACTTGTAATTCCAGGTATGTTTTACGTCAACGTAAAATAAAATTACTGACGGAAAATTAGTGGAAATGTCAATTAAAAATTATGTTCCATAACCATATCTAAGTGAAGTTAGCCCAATATTGAAATTGGAGCATGAACTTATTGAAATAAATTCATGAACATTATTTCACACAGAACAGAAAGTAAGATGTTAAATTTACATTCTGTTGGTTTTTAAAGGTTGTTTAAACAATTTTAACAGCTTAACTTCAATTAAGTACTTGTCAAAGTAAGGTTTTTCTAATCACAGTCGATTACGTATTAAGTATTCGGCCAATTTTACTACCCATACATCCCTAATATATATATATATGCATATTTTTTTCATATTGTAAAATGTTAAAATACATAGGAATTTATATAATATATGTATTTAACTTTGCAAATAATTAACAGATGTTTTCACCATAAAGCTATTTTTCTTTTAAATTGCATAAATTTCATAGTTCCAGTGCAACCTTTACAACAATAAAATCAGAGGTTCAATTCCCCGCGGTGGAAATGGCAGATAGCTCAATTGGCTTTGCTCTAAAATAAACTGATTGATTGATTTATAGAGGTATAAGTATAAATCAGTCAGTGGAGGTGGACACTAGGGGGTGCTGGTGATATTTTTCCAATTTCTTCTTTTATTACATGGGGTAAACATCCAATTTCCTCTTTTATTACATGGGGTAAACATCCAATTTCCTCTTTTATTACATGGGGTAAAACATCCAATTTCCTCTTTTATTACACGGGGTAAAACATCCAATTTCCTCTTTTATTACATGGGGTAAAACATCCAATTTCCTTTTTTATTACACGGGGTAAAACATCCAATTTCCTATTTTATTACATGGGGTAAAACATTCAATTTCCTCTTTTATTACATGGGGTAAACATACAGTCTATATACTTTCAATTGTTACTGTCATATTTATAACAAAAACAGAAACGGTAATTATATTCATAAGTGGTAAAACATTAAATTTACAATCGCATTTCATCTTCACATCTCACTAATCATTTGAGGGATTTATTTTTCACACATTGTTTATACATACTTTCAAAGAAGACAAACGTATATCAAGTGAGATATCTTTAAGTCACCTGTTATTTATTGCTTTTTGATAGAAAAAAAACTAAAACAAAAAATTAAATATTATTTAAGTAACCGAACCCAATAGACATGAATAAATTTATTATTTTGTACTTTCAAACTTTTTATTGCCACTGGCATATTTCAGAAAAAAAAAAACAACTTTCATGAACCGTTCACCGCACTTAACCACAACCAAACCAAACGTTTCCGTGGTAATAATGCCAAGTGTTTATGTGGCTATAAGGAATTGTTCGGTTAAGCCAATCAGTGCTTATATAAATCTCTGTATGGATAAGATGGGAGGAAACACGTAGTTTTCAGAGCTTATTAAAAGGGGTGGTCGTTTTATTTCCCTAATAACTTGTACCATTCTGAAGTTTTACATTTCATACTCGCCATTTCACGTGTTTTATTGTCAGGTGGAATGTTTGATCTGAAAGTTAAACTCAAATTTACAAGTATCTCTAAAAAAAAAATAATAACATCGATATATCAGAGATAACTTTTCTGACACACACACACACTGGATAGAGCGTAGATACGGCCTAAATCCATTGTGTAGCTTTTCAATTTAAAAAAAAAAGACATACAAAAAAAAACCAATTATTTTATTCAATGATAACCTGGTGGTTAAGGCACTCGACTCGTAACCTGAGCATCGCTGGATTCAATTCCGTCACCGAGCATGCTTCCCCATTCAACTGTAGGGGAATTATAAAGTGATGGTAACGAGTAATCCAAGAGCTAGCGGTGGGTGGTGTAGAATAGATGCCTTCCCTCTAGTCTATCACTTTACAATTAGGGACGGCTAGCTCTGGGCGAAATTCCACAAACAAACAAACTATAAAATGTTTCTTTCTAATACGTAATTATAAATACATTTCTCAGTAGTTATAAAATACCGAGACAGTATGATTCTCAGTAGTTATAAAGTACCGAGACAGTATGATTCTCAGTAGTTATAAAGTACCGAGACAGTATGATTCTCAGTAGTTATAAAGCACCGATACAGTATGATTCTCAGTAGTTATAAAGCACCGAGACAGTATGATTTTACAGTATCAAGTAAGAAACTCGGTAATTTGAGGGTGTGTGTGTGTGTCTCAGTTGAAATGACGTGGTATTATCAATGTGCATGACAAAATAATTCACTCTGACCTTCAGGTCTAAAGGTATTAAACGAGAGGGAGAAAAAAAACAAATCTGTTATCACATATGTTCGTACTTCCTTTATCGGGCGTGACGTGCAAGATCTCTAGCTTGGCCTTCGTATCTTAGTACGGACTGACCTTAGCTTCTTATCTATTTATCTCCAGGCGAAACTTGAATGAAACCCGGTGACCTAGTTTGGGAGTTTTAAACGCGATCTTATATGATATGACACACGGGACAAACAAAGAAGGAAAATAGTGGACTGTTATGGATAGCGATAATAACAATGATAACTGATATGAAAATGAAACTTCCGTCTCTTTGAAACGTTCCTATGAATTCATTTTGACTGTCTTAGATAAGTTGACTATTAGGAAAAAGGCTGTAATTAAAGCGTAAAGACCAGACGTAGTCCAGAGGCTAGCGTGCAGGACTATGGATCCATGATCGTTTTTCGTTCAGTAATTTTTTTCGTTTTTTTTTCTTATGCTGTTAAGCACAAAACTACTCAATAGGCCACCTGTGCTCTGCCACCCACGGGTATCGAAACCCGTTTTTTAATGTTGTAAGCCGTAAGTTTTGTCGCTGAGTCACTGGATACTTCCGCAAGCTGGAGCTTTGTGTACATTATATGGGTGTTGGTACAGTATCTCTATTTCGTTAGTGCAGCCAAAGAACTGGCAATGAGTATTGTTCACTAGCTGCTTTACCAGTAGACTAACGGTTCGCAGATAGCTTTGTACGAATAACCAAACGTTTCGTCTATAGATAAGATTCAATTAACCATTCAGATTTAAATTGTTCACTAGCTGCTTTACCACTAGATTAACGGTTCGCAGATAGCTTTGCACGAATAACCAAACGTTTCGTCTATAGATAAGATTCAATTAACCATTCAGATTTAAATTGTTCACTAGCTGCTTTACCAGTAGACTAACGGTTCGCAGATAGCTTTACACGAATAACCAAACGTTTCGTCTATAGATAAGATTCAATTAACCATTCAGATTTAAATTGTTCACTAGCTGCTTTACCACTAGATTAACGGTTCGCAGATAGCTTTGCACGAATAACCAAACGTTTCGTCTACGATTCAATTAACGATTCAGATTTAAAAGATAGTAAACAATGGCAGGTATTAATGAAAACAATAAAATAATACTGGGAAACTTACGACAGGAACTATCATTATCTTAGTAAGTGGACTTACAAAATGTCACCACTACATAAAATATACAGAGATGATTCAGTACGTTATATTAAAACGATTTTGGAACCTCACAATGTCATTAGAGTCCATGTTTCATGTT